AACTCTAAGACACTCCACAGGTGAGAACAACATCTTCATTAATTCTCTAAAAATAAATTCCGCTTTAAAAATACCCAGAGATGGATTTGTGAAGTAAAAATTCCACAGATATAATTTCACGCTTCGACTCAAGACTTGGTAAGAAATCTTCTCATCGAGGGATACATTTTAATTGAGGACAACGAACTCAAAACTATTAAAGAAAAACAATAACATTTCTGCAAGAAGACTTAAACCACTAAGGGACGCATTATTAATCTTTATTAACAAATAACTCCAATATTTCCTCTCACTGGGGTACCTCACGTAGTTAAGATGCTGTATAAAAACCAGGCCAACACGACTAATTACTCCAAATCTTCACTCAGACAAGCCACTGTGACTGCGGGCGGCTGTAAGTTAGTCAGCTGAGCAATAAATCAGGAATGACTGTCAGCATTCATCTCGCTCTTGAAGGATTAACGTCAGGGTCTCAGTTTGCTTCAGATTTTGCAGTTGCCTTTTCAAATTACAACCTGCCCTTTTGTGATGGATTTGGGTGCATATAGTTCACTCAATGTCTCGTGGTGATTTAACAAGAGGAAGAATATTTGACTTTAAAACAATATAGTGTGTGTGTGTGTGTGTGTGTGTGTGTGTGTGTGTGTGTGTGAGCAGCTTAGGATGCTCAACTCGGACTGGTCAATCCCGCCTTTGAACAATTAGGAGCCATTTAAGAGGAGGTATGACTAGCTAGTCCATCAGAGATTCATATTCACAGCCCATCTGACACTCATATTCAACCCACCAGATCACTCATATTCACAGCCCACCAGATCACTCATATTCACAGCCCACCAGATCACTCATATTCACAGCCCACCAGATCACTCATATTCACAGCCCACCAGATCACTCATATTCACAGCCCACCAGATCACTCATATTCACAGCCCACCAGATCACTCATATTCAGCCCACCAGATCACTCATATTTAATCACAGATAAAAATATTGCGGATTTTTTGCCCTTAGTAAAATTTTCTCCTTTTCTTTTTACCCTGTCGTCAATATCTGTTTCTTTTTAAATCTATTTTGTATGTTTTATTGACATTCCTGTTGTAGAGTCTTTTGTTCTTTTGTTCTTTTGTTACCCATTTGGTCCTATGAACTAAATATTTTGTTTGGAAACGCTAACTGAACCTCACCCCCACCTCCCCTCCCAAGTTTCCCCACTCCCCGATGTAGGGATTCCTACATCAGTATTTCTTTTCACTATTAAACTAAAATATAAAGTGATTTTAATCTTTATACATTTATTCACATTCAATAAATTCTTTTAAATTTATACATTAATATTTTTTTTCATTTCGGAAGCGTTCTGTATAGCTGTGTCATGTATAGAGCAACTGACGCATCTTCTCTTATTGTTCACCAAATTTCCACTTCTCCTCCTCTCTCTCTCTCTCTCCTCTCTCTCTCTCTCTCTCCCCTCTCACAAAGTAGTACACTTGTTATTACCCTGAACAGCACTTACCTTTTTATATCCATTAAACATCACATTCACTTCATACATTCACTTCATCCATTCACTTCATCCATTCACTTCATCATTCACTTCATCCATTCACTTCATCCATTCACTTCATCCATTCACTTCATCCATTCACTTCATACATTCACTTCATCTACTCATTCACTTCATTTCCACGTCCCCTCAAGGCTATGCACTTTAAAACTCCCCACCTCTGTACCCCCCCCACACCTCTGCCCTCCCACCCCTCTCTCTCTCTCTCTTCCTCTGTAATGTATTTCCCTCGTGTACACAACAGGTGATAACACTACACACCTCACCTGGGTAGTCGTACACCTGTTATCACCTTTGTTTATACGATGTACCTGATTGAGGGGGGGGGGGTGTAGCTTCTTGTGGCAGCTGTGTGGGTATGGGTTTCGACGTGATACTATCCATGACATGGGTTCGAATCCTAGATGGGAATAACTCGAACACAAGTATACATACAGATATACATCAAAGTCATACATACACACATAAACAAAAACGATAAAAATGATACACGTAACAAAATAGAAAAAGGATTATTGGACAAGAAAGATAAAAATGACAATTGAGAAAAAGATTGGAAGAACAGAGAAGGAGAAAGAGAGAGAGAGAGAGAGACAGAGAGAGAAAGAGACAGAGAGAGAGAGAGAGAGAGGGAGGGGGTGAGTTCAAGGTCCTATATAAATAACAGCATAACACAACTAACTTTTCGATCCACAAGATAAACGTAAAAATAAAAAAACTAAACCTTCATAGATTTACAGAGATAAATAAACCCTAAATAAGAACAAACTCCTACCTGATGTATATAGAACGAGGTCAAGGGAACTGGCTATTCCATATTGGTAATTATGGCGTATTGAAAAAGATAAAAGCGACAGAGATGGAGAGGGGAGGGGATGGGAGAGGGAGGGTAGATAGGATAGGAAGGGATGGAGGGAGGGAAAGGAGGGAGGGATGATGTTACCTTGATGTCTCATTAATACAGGTGAAGGCGCCGTTATATGCTTTTGATTAGGTACTCATTAACTGGACTAGTTCTGTACACGTACTAGTGAATATATTAACAAGAGATGATGATAGTATATAAAACAGAGATAGGAAGAAAGGAATAATAAATTGGAAGAGAGAGGAAAAAGCTAAAGAGTGAATTAGAAGGAATTGGAAAAGAGTTGACAAATTAAAACTTTTTGAGAGAGAGAGAGAGAGAGAGAGAGAGAGAGAGAGAGAGAGAGAGAGAATAGTCAAATAAATATCTCACAATATAAACAAGAACCAGCAAAAAAAAATGAAAAAAAAAACAACAATAAATTAAACAAATAAAAACACAAAAACAAAAAAACAAAAAACTAACAACAATAGACAATAAACAATAGTTACACTGAGAAATGTATTGAGAGCGAGAGAGACAGCAACTACAGTAGGTCATGAGAGGAGACAAAGGTAGAGAGATAATTAAGCATCTGATTGTTTTACAGGTAACTAAAGACTCAATAGATACAAGAGAAACAGGTAAATGGAAACTAAAGGTAAACTGTGTACCTTGGGTGTATTAGTATAGGAGTGTAAACTGTATATCTTGAGTGTATTAGTATAGGAGTGTAAACTGTATATCTTGAGTGTATTACATTGAATTGTGTAAAAAAAATAAAAAAAAATGGAAAAATGAGAAAAAGAAATTATAGAAAAAAGACTACTCAAAATATATCAAGGGTGGGTCTTTAAATTTAAGGGGGTGGGTCTTTAAATTTAAGGGGGTGGGTCTTTAAATTTAAGGGGGTGGGTCTTTAAATTTAAGGGGGTGGGTCTTTAAATTTAAGGGTGGGTCTTTAAATTTAAGGGGTGGGTCTTTAAATTTAAGGGGTGGGTCTTTAAATAATGGGGTGTATGACACTCCCTCTGTTACTTCTCCCTTATCTCTCTCACCTACCCCTCTTTGTCACCCTCTCTCCTCTCCCCTCCCTCTCACCTCCCTCTCACCCCTCTCGTGGAGTGGTTTCCCTAGTACACTAACAGGCCCTTTCAGTCTGGGGTTGGGTTAGCTTAGGTTAGTTTTTTCTATTCTGTTATTTGACAAGAAGCAACACTGGGATTTATTCCATGGGGCAAAAGGGTCGAACATGGGTCTTTCGCCGGGGTGTTGTCCACTCCATCAAGACCCTGGAGGGGAGAGGGGAGATAGGGGGAGGGGGAGAATGGGTCAGAGGGGAGGGGGAGGAGGGGGAAGGGGGGACTATATACTTGCAGGTGGTCAGGGTGCGAAATGAAACCACCAAGCTTCACTAGTACACACACACACACACACACACACACACACATACCGTATATCCTAGGAAGGGTGAGGTGGGAGGTGGTCGAACCGGTGTCCTTCAGTGAGAATGTGATCACAGTGGACGTCATTATATCATTTACTGTACCCGGTGTTGTAAGAGTATTGCATTATTCTTTGTCCCTCGTTAACCACAAGACCCTTCACCTCTATTATCTTACGTGTGATGTGAAGCTTTGGTCGAGGAGTAACATAAGAGAGTGAAGAAATTTGTATGTCTAAATATATGGTGAAATGGATTGTGCTCTCTCTCTCTCTCTCTCTCTCTCTCTCTCTCTCTTCTCTCTTTCTCTCTCCTTCCAAAATTGAAGTTACATGTAACTTAAGGTAAGGAAGGAGGAAGAAGGAAAGAAGAAGAAGAAAGAAAGAGGAGGAGGAGGAGAGGAGGAGGAGGAGGAGGAGGAGGAGGAGGAGGAAAAGGAGGAGGAGGAGGTACCGAAGTGAATTATGAAAGAGGTCGTTCCAGTCTGTGTGATAAGATACCCTTAAGGGAAATATGAGGGGGTAAGGGATGGCCAAGGGAAGGGGAGGGAAGGGAGAGTGAGATATACTATCCTCCCTCACCCTTAGGGAATCGAAGGAGGTCCAGATCTTCACCCTTAAAGACAGAGAGACAGGAAGCCAATAAGGGCATTAAGGGAGAAGGTAGGGAGAGAGGGAGGGAGAGACCTGAAGACCTGAGAAGGTAGGGAGAGAGGGAGGGAGAGACCTGAAGACCTGAGAAGGTAGGGAGAGAGGGAGGGAGAGACATGAAGACCTTAGATTGATGGCCCTGTCTATTAGGTCTGTGACGTCATAACAGGACTCTACCATACAGAGAAACTGAACTGTCCCTGTGATTGTGGTGGTTGGTATGGTGGTTGATACCTAATGACTATACTCCACTGTATTACTTAACTAATGTATCTTGCTGAAATTACCACCTAATACATAATACGTCTGTAATAAAACTGTATCCTGACTGTATCGCTGTATCCACCTTCAGTATCGTGGCCTGAACTCGCCTTGACAAAGCTACCCGCCCCAGTAGTGCCAGCAAGTAACGAGTACGCAGGCGCGGGGACAGGCAGTAGGTGGGCGGGGCCAGCTAGTGAGAGGCACTGTGGGTTGGTAGCGGCGTCAGTTGTTATCCGGCAGCTGTAGGGAGAGTGTGGGCTGCGTGCGTGTCAGGGGTGCGTCACTCGGGTGTGCTTTGTGTGTGTGTGTGTAGGGAAGAGGAGCTGTGAGAGACAGATGTTATGACCGAACTTGATCGAACTATAAAGTGTGTGAAAAAAAAAACCAAGACTAAAAGTTCTTAAAAAGTTTTATTTAATGAAAGTTGAAGATAAGTTTAATACGAAATCACCTTAAATTATAAAAACAAACAAAAGAAGAATGAATTATCTAAACTTAAAATAAAAAGTGGATTTATTTATCTGATTCAGAGTCTAAATAAGAGACTTGATTGGCCAGAACGATAACCAATCACAAAAAAATATGATAACCAAAACGAAAAAAGGGGAGGGGGTGTGTGAGGGGGGGTGAGGGGAGGAGGGGTGAGGGGTGAGGGGTGAGGGGTGAGGGCAGTTACCTGAAATGTAATAAAGAAACAATTAAACAAACAATAACCTGATTTAAGAGGGGAAAAAACGAATAGGTGAAGGGGTTAATTTAGTTGAAATACTGTTGTAACACACTGGGTTAGTGTTGTCCTGCTGTGTTGCCCTGTTGTGTGTTGCGGATTGATGGACGCAGGTGAACAAGGTAGTGAACAATAATAACATTAATATTCTGTTCATCTGTTCTTTGTTTATTAAGTTTGAATTAAAACAAAAAATAATCTTAACAAATTCCCCCAAAAGACACAATTTTGTCCATCATGTTTTGGGCGATGTGAGACAGACAGACAGACAGACAGAGACAGGTAGACAGACAGACAGACAGAGAGACAGACAGACAGAGAGACAGACAGACAGACAGACAAACAGAGAGACAGACAGACAGAGAGACACAGACAGACAGACAGGCAGACATACATAAAGACACACACACACACACACACACACACACACACACACAAACAAATACAATCATATATAAATCTGTTTGTTTTCCCACCTCGTTCTGCTAACTAAACAACAAACAACTTCTTGATAAGTAAACAACAGCTTAGGCTCTGTACTTATAGGTATCGTTAAACAAGACACTTTTGTTTGGTTTACTTGTGGTCACTTTTATTTAATATTTGTAAGTAATTTGTTTAAGTAATGGCAATGTATACTTGATAAGGGTGAATATAGAAGTTTAATATATGATTGTGTATGTATAATTATGTGTATTTATACTCGTTATAGGAATTATTATACTTATCATAAGGTTGTATAATTATTATAGGTATGTATATGGAGAGGTATTATTGATATTATTCTTTTTTGACAATTTTCTTCATATCTTTACCATATTATTATTATTATTATTATTATTATTATTATTATTATTATTAGTAGTAGTAGTAGTAGTAGTAGTAGTAGTAGTAATAGAAGTGAGGAATCGTAATAATAGCTGTTATAATTATATATCGTTGTTTCTGGTCAAATTACCTCCGGAATATAATTAATTAAGATACAAATTAATTTTAACCTTGTTCTTGTATTTTATTTCGTCCAAGAGTTGATTATTTATACATTAGAACTTAACTTAACTCTTGAACTTTACCCTTAACGCTTAAGTTTAACGCTTTATTTTGACTTCGCCCTTAGCCCTTGAACTTGACTTGATCCTTACCCTTTGAATCTAACCCTTGAATTTGACCCTAAATTTGACTTGACCTTTAGTGCTTGAGTTTAACCCTTGAATTTCATTTGAACTTTCACCTTGTCTTCACACATACACACACACACACACACACACACACACACACACACACACACACACACACACACACACACTAACCCTCACAGAAACAGCAATAGAACAGCACCAGTTTAGCTGTTCCCTCATCTCTGTTTCGTGTACAGCTACTGTGGTGGCCGGAGAGTACAGCGTTCACAAGCCATTAATGTTATTGTGTCGTGCGAAACTGTTTTAACTGCTCATATCAGGGGTTTTAGGTGCCACGATCCGTTTTCTGCATGTATTGACAATGATATATATGTGTGTGTGTGTGTGTGTGGTGTGTGTGTGTGTGTGTGTGTGTGTGTGTGTGTGTGGTGTGTGTGTGTGTGTGTGTTATGGATCTAAATTCAATTACAACAACTTTTTTATATACGTGTACTTTAATTAAGTATGTGTACAGGTGGGGCGAAGGGGGAGGCTGGAGGCTATAATTAAAAAAGAAAGAAAAAAAGTAGTAGTAGTAGTAGTAGTAGTAGTAGTAGTAGTAGTAGTAGTAGTAGTAGTAGTAGTAGTAGTAGTAGTAGTAGTTGGTTGTATCCTTGGCAGATGCTGTGACAACCTGTAACACATGTTATGTAATTAAGTCCCATACCTGGCGGAGGTTTACCGTGTCTATTCCTGACATACACCTGGAGAGAGAGAGAGAGAGAGAGAGAGAGAGAGAGAGAGAGAGACGTAATAACATCTGTGTTAGTTCAATTATTACAGCTATAGATTCACACCATCTTATTGAACTACAGACGTATTTCCGCTGTCACTGTCACTCCTTGTCACTGTCACTCCTTGTCACTGTCACTGTCCTGGCTAAGTATTATTATTATTATTATTATTATTATTATTATTAATATTAGCTGAATTTAAAGAATATTAATTACCCCTCATAAAATCATACATACATACATACATACATACATACAAACATACATACATACATACAAACATACATACATACATACAAACATACATACATATAGGCTTTACTTTAATCTGTACCTCCAACGTATGTAAGCTTGAAGTCTTTACGGCAAAAAATTCTGTAACAACGCCATTCACTTCTTATCTTCTTATCTAAGCTGAAGTAAAATTCCCTGAGTCACAATAGATAAAAATTTCCTCGAGTCACAATCGATAAAATTAGTTTTTATTACAGTATACTATTCCTTTACAAGACCTTAGTTGATAGAGCTCAATAAAGTTCAATCAACTTAATGCATTGAGTTTACTGAGAGTTTACTGATACATGACGCAAAGTTTATCATGGAGAGTCAGTCAAGTGTGTTGTTTCATCTACGATATATCTTCAGTTTTTATCAGGTATGGCAATATTTTTCTACATATTGCTTCATTCACTTGCGTTACCTCATCTACCTTACCTCTATGGCAATAGCGTAGGTCGTGGTAGAATTTTTCATATTAGTTCATTAAAATTCTAACTTGGGAGAGGAATTTTTCATATTAATTCCCGTGTGTTTGTTCGTCTGTGATATTTACGTGTTTTTTTAAATGTAATATTTTCACTATTCAGAGTTTAATTATCTTAAATTGGATTAGATTCTCTGAAGGGAATCTAGTCCTGTGGAGACGATGTTCAGCTATTTTTAAGTCATTTATTCTCCCTCGCTGGTCTTATAACTCTCGACTCACAAACTCCTACGTCTCACTACAATCCTCAGCTCTCTATGTAATTCGTGACCATAGTAACAGCGCCAGTTTCTTTGCACGTCACAACAGCGTTTATTGAAGCTACGCCAGACGAACGCTTGTTTTCATTAAATTTAACATTGCACTATTTTTTGGGGGATGGAATATTCTGATACCATCTCGCTTTTTATAGTTACTGTACCTGTATTTTGTATTAATTAAAGTTACCCGTATTTACCTGTAACTATCAGAGTTACTGTACCTGTATTTTGACCTGAACCCTTTCCTGCCATCGTCTCACACCTCTATGAGTGTGACGCACCTACACATTAATACACCTACAGTAATACACCTACACATTAATACACCTACACATTAATACACCTACAGTAATACACCTACACATTAATACACCTACACATTAATACACCTACAGTAATACACCTACACATTATTACCTACACATTCTACACTGCCATTTATCAATTATACCTCCCGAGTCCTAAACAAATTGCTTGACAATCTTCCTCTGTGATTAATTAAAAAAAAAAAAAGGTGTTGAATTTACTGCAAAGTGGCTGAAAGAAATATGAAGTGGGAAGGAGAGAGAGAGAGACAGACAGACAAAGAAAAGACACACATTAGACAGAGAAAAAGACAGAACATAGACAGAGACACAAACAGACAAATAAAAAACATTATTTTATATAAAGCCACAAAACGGCCACAGCTTAACTATTTAATATTCCATAAAATTGTTTACTTTTTATTCAGAAATTTGTTGAATAAATAGAGAATGATGAGAGGTTAGCGTGAAGCAGCTGACGTGTGTGTGTGTGTGTGTGTGTGTGTGTATGTGTGTGTGTGTGTGTGTGTGAAAAACATCCTTTGAGGGTCTTTGATATGTAATCCTTTTTGTTACACCAGCTCATAGGATCAGGATAGGGTACACAATGAACTAGCTCTTGCTTACAGAGATTCAACAACACACACACACACACACACACACACACACACACACAGGTATGAATATATGTATACTAATGTGTATGCCTGTCTCTTTGTATTTACGTTTGTTAAATTTTCACTGTATATTCCTCAGCCTTTACAATACACCAATAACAATACACTAACTCTCTTCTAGTGACAAGTCATAAGTCACTCCTATATCTTATTAACAAATGTCTAAGTCATTATATATACAGGTGAGTAAAGAGTCATTATATACAGGTGAGTAAAGAGTCATTATATACAGGTGAGTAAAGTCATTATATACAGGTGAGTAAAGAGTCATTATATACAGGTGAGTAAAGAGTCATTATATACAGGTGAGTAAAGAGTCATTATATACAGGTGAGTAAAGAGTCATTATATATACAGATTGAGAAGGAGTCATTATATACGGGTGAGGAAAGAGTCATTATATACAGGTGAGTAAAGTCATTATATACAGGGTGAAGTAAGAGTCATTATGTACGGTGAGTAAAAGAGTCATTATATATACAGGTGAGTAGTCATTATATACAAGGTGAGTAAAGAGTCATTATATACAGGTGAGTAAAGAGTCATTATATACAGGTGAGTAAGAGGAATCATTATATACAGGTGAGTAAAAGGAATCATTATATACAGGTGGGGAGTCATTATATACAGG